TAGCACCTAGCTGATTGGAGGACATGTATTCAACCAAAGCCATTTTATACATTAACTTTAGGATATAGGGATTTAGGGTTTAAGGGTAGAGTTTAGATTTTAAGATTTGAAATTAGGGTTTAGGGTTTAGATCAGAAAATCAGGTGGGCCGACCCTTTTGTCCCACCATGCTAAGAACCAACTATTGCCCAAACTTAGAAGTCTTACTTTCTAAGCAAGTCTAGTATTATATAAACCAGACCCACCATCCTTACTAGCCATTATTTGCGTTAGTCTTTCTGTTTGTGTATAATTGGAGTCTTTTGACTGTGTTGATTCTCTAACTGTTGCTAGAGTGGCGCCTCTTTGATTGTGGGTCACATTTTTCGTTAGGCATGGCACAGCTTAGGAGGGAACCTCATTGCTGTTGTGACGAGGGTTTGATGAGTGTATCATCCTCCTTCAGAGTCATGACAACGTGGTCATTGTCAATGTAAGCCTCAATGGGGTCTTCTTTTGGTAGGCAAATGGGCTCTATAACAAGGGTAGAGACCTTACTAGAAAACTAGTTGGCACCTTCATAAAGGGAGAGGTTGCTTTACTTAGGTCAATGTCTAAGCTTTTGATCTTTGCTTTACTTATTAGATCACCTTAGGAAAATTTACTTGTAGTTTCTAATTAGAAATCAACTCCTCTCTCTCTCTCTCTGATTCACAACCGATGGGTTCCACCTAACAACTTGAATGAAAACAGGTTGAGTTGGTAATCTAATTTAGATATTTTTTAGATATAGATTCGGACAATATATATATATTTTAATTTAAAGTCAAAGCTCAAAAAAAGTTATAGGAATTATCACTGTAGTCATAACTATTTATTTAATTAATAAAAAAATCTAAAAAAGTCTTCCTTCTCCTATGTTGCAGGAATCTATTGCAGTAGAAAAAAAAAATGAGGAGATTGTTTCATGGCAAACACATGGAGCCCATTTGAGCTGGAACCAAAGACTCAGAAGATTCCTTGGTAGCTCAACTTCCCCTCTYTTGGCAGTCCCCAATATTGTAGCCTTAACAGGATCTATAATTATTGAAAATGAAAAGTTCTCTTTAGACAAAAATAAATAAATAAATAAATCCAGTATGTGACTATAGTGCTGGAAACTTCAAAAGTAAGGTTGTTGATATGGACCAGCACAAACAAAGGATTCAAAGGAAGCATACGCGCCTTTGAACAATTTGTGTTTTGGCCTGTTTAGAATTTGAACCAACTTGTGATTGGCATCTTTGACAAGGAGGTTAGGCCATTGAGACTTTGTGTGATTTTGAAGTTAGAGAATAAGGGAGTTAGTTGGCCTGTTGGGTCTTAGATTTCATAGCTCATACTCTCATAGAAGTGGATAGATGGACCCCACTGATAAACTATAATTATAGGTGATGCATGCTGATTGATGGGACCCACCAATGCTTGATCTTTTTGTCTCTGTGGATGTGTTTCAATTTTGGATACTACCTCTATAGTATATACAATTTTAATAGTATATAATTAATACCTCTTTTGTTATATTTTTATATGTAAAGAGGGTTATCATTTGAGTTGCAGATCTTAACATTTTATTAGATTATATAAATAATTTACAAGGGATGTTCTGAGTTTTTCGTTGTCTCATTTCGGTAAGTCAAAACAGTAAAATAAAATTAAAATAAAAAAAAAAAAATAGTTGGTTTGATGACTTCAGACAAATCTTAATTATTGACAGGCCTACTGGTATTGGGAATTTTCATGTGTTGAGTTCCAATCTACAGACTAATAATAAAGTTTGTTAATGAATAATGAGTGAAGACCTATACAACTGATCAATGTGAAAGAGTTTTTATACTTAGAGATCGATATGGCTATTTAGTGGAAACTTGTTTAAAAGGACAAAATTTTGTATATTTTCGAAATGCTGGAAGCTAGTTAGAGAAGATCAATGAGGGGATACTGAACGAACATTGTAAATCCTTTCCTTTGATCCATTTATCATGCACTAAACTTATTTAGGAAATGGACCCTCCTTTTCAGTAAATGTATCTCTCTTTGAAGGAGTGGGGATACTGGATTAGTGATGTTTTTAAAAACCAATCCCGAATCAGAACCGCTTTGGCCATATAGAGGTTTGACTATCTAGTCTGAACAGATGGCTCATTGCAATTTAAAAAAAAAAAAAAAAAAAAAAAACTAAACTAATTAAGATAAAAAGAAACAGCCAAAAACCATTGTCTAAGTCAAACAGGTCAATGATTTGATCACCTGGGTCAGCAGGTTGCTGATCAAATCAAGGGTTTTTGGCAAAGGAACGGTTCAGGGATAAAATGGAATTGGTTGCTTAGATGGTCAAATCAAACAGTCGGACCATCTGGGCCATAGGCAAATTATGCCTCTTTTCTGGTCTAGAGGAAAAAGAAAAAAAAATGCCATAATTTAATGTAAAACAAGGATTGGTCTGATCAAAATTAGAACTGGAAAAACATTCTAGAAATGATGCAATTATTTGTCAAGAATACAACCAACCTTCTCTCATCACTATCTATAGTTTTTATGAACAACCTTCTAGAAATGATGTAATTGTTCTATAGTTTTAATCAGAAATTCAATTTCAAAATGTAGTAATCCGCATTAGTTTTTATGAACAATTACAAATATGTAGAGTGCAAAACTTCGTATTTTGTATGTATTTATATTCCTTCCAAACTGAGCCTTAGTGATTTAGTGGTAATGGTGGGTTTTAATTAAATGAGGGCTACTTAAGTGCAAGGGAATTCCATTCCAGTAGTTAGTAAGGTACTATTTATTCGAGGAAGGAAAAAAGAAGCATACAAATCATATATTGGAAATGTCACTAAGAGAGAGCTACCCCAGCAACAAAGAGCAAAAGAAAACAACCTACAACACTTCAAGGGACAGCCTGAAAAACTAGACCCGCACAAGACATGGCCCAGGCCCACTAGGAACAGACCACTAAACAGAGAGACAACCTCAACCCCATGCCAGAAAGGACCAAACAGAAAACCACAAAAGGAAACTAACCACGGAGTGAGGTCTGAGGACCTTCTTCTACCCCTCACCCTCGTGCTACAAGCCTACGAGAAGAACAATCAGGAGACCGGATTCAGTCCTCACAAAATAGTGCTCACACTGTACTCACAGACACTTGCAGTTGTGCATTGGGAATATCTCCCATCAATAAAAACAGAAAAGTACAGAGATATTACCAATAAACGGTTACAAGTGGCCATGAGGACAGTGTAAGCACCATTTTGTGAAGACTGAATCCAAGTTCAACAATCAGAACAAACACTAGTTGAACCAGAACCATCCTCCAAGCCAATACCGCCCCATTCAGACACTGCACTTGTGTCCCTAAAAAAAAAAAAAAAAAAAATTCCTTGCCCCTTAGCCACTCATGAACCTGATCTTCCCGACCACCTGCAATTCTGCTGCAAAGGAAACTCCAAGGAACTTGCCGAAATTAAACAGCTGCTCTACTCGCTATTCCACATTGCTAGGAAGTGAAGTAGAAAACTCTGCAATAGGCTGAGAATTCTCACAACCAAAACTCTCAAACTGATCTCTAGAAGCAACAGGGCTGGGAGAACAATGTAAAACATCTTCCGACTCCAACCCAGCGTGAACATCTGAAACAGCCAGGGGACCAAGATTTTTGGGCTCGAAAGGAGCTTCCTAAGGCAGACTATCAAAATGCACCTTTGCAAACTTGCTGGGCCCCTTGATAGAATTATGCCTTTTCCACACCGGGCCCACAGAAACCATTCCCTGGACTGTGAAGAAGGCTGCAGAGTTTTTGGGCCTAAAGCAGAATCAACAATCATCAAAATGGGCTCCAATCGGACTTGGGCTAAAAGCCCCAAAATGTTCTTTTAAACTCGTGCAGAGTTCAAACAGGGCACACATCAAAATTTGAAATGCGTGCCTGTGCAATCCAAAACAAACAACCCAGCTACCGGAACCAACTGAAGATTGGGTACGTCTTCTGGAGTTGAACTGCCTTCCATGACAACTACCAGAAGCATACACATACCGAGCGGTACAGATGCATTTCTTCATCTCTTCTTCTTCCTAGGACATCTGAATTTTTTCCTTCCTGGTTTTTGACTGTGAGATGGTATCAGAACCTGCTTGACCAAGTGGTCCAATGTTCGATGCGTGGGCCTGTGCTTGTTCATACTTCAAGTCCTATGGACTTCTTTTGTGAAGGGCCGTGGTAAAGAATAAAAAATCTATTCAAGGACCTTACCTAACAGCTTAAGCTTTTAAGTTGAACGGTAATAAAGAAAGCCAATTTATCAGAGGATTCTAAACCATCCGATTAGGGTTTATTTTCCCTCCCTCTTAACTCCTGTTATTTTCATATCGAAAAGAATCAAAGATAAGATGGTTAAATCTTCTGGGTATGCAGATTTTTTTGTTCGTTTAATTATCTATCAGGCCTAGGGCCATACACGCGTCCTATTTTCCAAAACCCGAGATTTAAGCCCAAAAAAGTGTAGACGGTTGGTTTCATCTTTCATGAAATGGGAGTACATAGATCATACCCTGTTCAAGCAGACAACGAATCCACAGCCAATCAACGTTTTTTAGTTTTGCTTCTTTGCTTTGTTGATAGAATTTACAGTTAACCAACAGGATGGAATGCCGGAAATGAGAATCAGACAAGTTCTCTACTTTTCCATGCAGTTGATGCATATTTATGAAAATCCACTTATCTACAATACTTGCAAATGTAGAATATACTCCAAGAGAGCACACTTTGTCAATTGTCACTTAACCTGTATCATAAATTCATAATTGATCTTCCTGACTAAACCACTAAGGCACGAATAATTTAAGGTCCGATTGGGTCTCCAAACATGCCCCTTTTCCCCCCACTCAGTATCAGGAAAAAAAGCAGACTTAAATATGAGCGTTTCTACTGGGTTTTGGACTTTATTTTATAGCACATAGCATATGTAATTCCACCTTCCTCCCGCCAAACGCTTGTCAACAGCTCTGAGAAAACATTACTAGCAAAGGTAAAGATACAGAAAATATCTGCTTGTTTTCCTCTTTATTTGATCATCATTTTAAATGGTTGATAATCTCTGAATTTTGAATGCATTTTTAAATCAACCTTCTCCCCGCCTACCCAAAGAAATAAAAAAAAAAAAAAAAGTAAATTTACAACAATCACTTAAAGATAGTGACTCTGCTGGAAGGGCGAGGAGACGGCCACCAATGGTCGATCAAGGAGATTAGGCTGCATAGATGAAATTGTGAATCCCGCTGACTGTGGAACTCCAATTGTTGGACAAGAAATTTGACTGCACGCACAGAAGTTGGGTCATGTCAGGTTTGATCAATTTGAATTTGACTCGGTAAGTCGAGTCTTCAGCTCTTCAAAACTTGGGCTTGGTTACTCGGCAGCTATATGGTGGAACTATTTACCATTTTGGATGTCTTAACAACTAATGTATATGCTATTTGCACAAGAAATCCCCTACTAACACAACTTAGGATGTCATTGCCACCACTTTAAGCCATGATTAAGTTGGCACTTGGGATTTTAATCCCCTAGTGACACAATATTTCTTCTTTAAGATAGTGCAAGGAAAAATAGTGCTCACCTGTTGACAATATAGGATGAAGACAAGGAAGACTTCACTGGTACATTTCCAGTTTGATTAAGAGACGGTATGGGCCACATGACTGGAAGATAGAACAAAAACAATTTTAGCCATGACAAAAATTGTCTAAAAGAAAAGCAACATTAAATAAGCATTCATGTTTTCTTTTTCAATGTGATATTTATTACTATACTACCATTCGTCTCCCTGCGTTTGATTTAATGTTCATCTTCTACCTTAATATTTTTCAAAATAGACTGAAGTACTAGGTAATATTAGTTAGTAACAGTACAAAAACCTTGTCTTTCTTGTTAGTGGTGAAATACTTCATTTCTGAGATTGGTCTTGACTCTTGAGAACCAATTGCAAACTTCCTTCTCTTGCCAATCTGTTATACTAGCTAGCACAATAGATATCATTCAATCCCTCGTAGGGTTGGTACGGAAAGTTTCTCAATTCTTTTACTAGGTAATTTATCTACCTTTTTGTTAATTAGGAGCTGGGCATGAAAATTTTACCTGTCTGATCTGAACGTTCCTGGAAACCAGAGCACAAGAGTAATTCCTGCATTATAAAATTCATACATTTTCACATGGATAAACAATATTTTTACCTCTAAGAGCAGACAAAATATTTTAACACACATTATCTGTGGTAATAACATTGCTAATGTATACATGCACCCATCACAAACTCACCTCTCTGGAATTTTGGGAGACCTGATGGACCATCTCTGCGGTGAAGGAAAGCATATCAGATAGAATGAAATATATGAAGATCTCTTATGTGAGAATAAAACATTTTGAAGTTTGAACACCTAAGAATTGCATGGAACTGATTGATTGTTCTTAGCTCAAGCCCACCCAAATATTACTCTTAAGAGCAATTTCCCAATTCATTAATCATTATTCATCATAACCATCTAAACCTTGTCCCAACTATCTCAAGAGTACTTTCCTAGCATTTATTTTTTATTTTGTTCTTTCAGCACATTCCTTTGGAAAGTTGTCTAACTTAGACAAACAGACCTGATGAAACCAAACATGAAACACAGATATCCAGAGCCCAACATGTACCCCTAAAGGGGAGGGAGATTACAATCTTGGCCATCTAGTATTATTTTTTGGTTGGTAAAGATTTCTACTTATATTTCAACAGGATTTACTGATCAGATGGTTATTAAGCTAGGTAGCCATCCCATCCAATGATATTTTTATGGTGAAAGCTTAAGGCAGTCACCTTAGAAATTAGACACAAAATAGATGAATAAATGACAAGTTTCAATGACAGCTTAAGAGTTGGAACCTACCGAATAAAATTTGGTTTCCACTTTTTTGGAACAACAAGAAACAAACCAATAAACACAAAAAGTTTCATGTACCAAGTTTTGGAACAAATTTTTCAGAAAAATAGACTTTCTGTTAAGAGTGAAATGCTAAAAATTTCTCTATAAGATACCATAATCACATTTGCATTTGTTTGTAAATTCCTCAAGTATTATTACATCACCCAGTTAACTATAAAATTACTGATAATAGTCTTCATGTATTTTTGAAACACTTAATAGTTATCACTTCTTTCATTGACTATGGCAATCTCAAGACAAGACATACCTATGTCAGAAACACTGGGCTTTACAGCCAATGTCAAGCCAAGAAAGCAGTCATCTGGTTCAGTCCCAAAATCCCATAGATTCAACTCCAGCTTTGGCTCTACTGCTGAAGATCCAAAAAGAGAACAACAGGTTTATTGATACTATTAGTTACAAATAGCACCATATAAAAGTTTGCATTTGTCAATGCTCAAAAAGTGTTCAATGCATTATTCATCAAAAAAAAGAGTGTTCAATGTATTCAAAAATAAACTTACCCATGTCATTTGGCTTTGACTGAAAAGGATCCTGCAGTGGATAAGGAACCCACATTCCCACCTGTTTAACTGGCACAAGTTAGGCAGTGATGTATCAAAGAAAATGAAAAAAACAAGAAAAGAAAGACTGGAGAATTCATATTACATGGAAGAAAGGATGTTGTAGCGCTTGCTCAGCAGTTGGTCTCTTTAGTGGGTCCCAAGAGCACAGTTGCTATTGATAAAACAGGAAATACAATGTTACAATACACCCAAAACAATGTAGACAGCAGAAAAGTAACTCAGGGAACCAACTTAAAAACAGAAGAAGGTTTATTAACACCTACCGTTATCAAGTCAATTGCTTCCAAGCTGGCATTTGGAATGATGTCTGAAAGATTGACAGGCATGATCTACAGAAAGAGAAAGTTAAAGGAAGAGAAACACCACAAAGAACCCAATGGTTGATCCAAACAAATGCTTACCTCTGAAATGCTGAAATTAGCAAACCGTGAAACATTCATCCCTTCAGGCAAAGTAGTCCAATCTGGGGTCCCCAGAACACAACATATTTTGTACAGTTGATCTGTCTCACTGTTTACAGAAAAAATATCATGAGAGAGAGAGAGCAGTAGATTGTTTGTCACAATCAACATGTGTCTGAGAGAGTGAGAGAGAGAGAGAGAGAGAGAGAGAGAGAGAGAGAGAGAGAGGAGAGAGAAGTTTTGAAATATGAATGCCCTCTATTTTTCAAAAACAAACCTCATTAGGTCACTATTATTTAACAGGACTACAAGGTCTTCACAAATGGAGTGGCAAAAGCTGTAAGTAGCTAATAACTAGGTATGAGTTACTACAGCTTTCTCATGTTATGAGTGATGACTTATGTGCACTGTATGTACATGTGCATGGAGAAAGGAAATTCCTCAAATTTCATATTTGTCATCTCTCTTTTGGTCCTAAGAATATTATACTATATAAAACCTTACCTTTCACCAGGGAAAATAGGGCAAAATGTGAAAAGTTCAGCTAGTATTGCACCAATGGCCCACATGTCTGCAGAGATTTTCACTTCTTAGTAGTTAGTTCATGAGCAAACAATCACAACATGAATCTTATAATGAATATATTATACATAGGGTAAAACCAAAAAGGAACCATCCTATCTACATTGCCACAGGTGATTTTAACTGAGGAATCTCGCTTTAATGTGGCTGCAGAACCTTACTTTTTAAGCATAATATGCATATCTCAACAAATGTCCATTAATAAAACAAAGAACAAGAAAATATATTCTCCACACTTAACCATTACAGACCTCATTGCTGACAATTGAAAACTTCACTAGACGATATTTGTATGGTCATGCCACAATAAGCTTGAAAGGTATGCCACACAAAGTGATAATAAAGTTCCATTAGCACCATGCAGATTGTATAAGCCTTGTAATAGGCACCATGGAGATGTTTAGGTTCTTAAGGAAGTCCTATGTGGTATTAAATATAAAGTTGGATCAAACGGTGGTGATGGAACCAGAACCAGTTTCTTCTAGACAAATTTAATGAGATAGCAGGTCCCTCGTGGATTGCTTTCCAGCCCTCTTATTGCTGAAGATAGATATGCCTTGGTCATGCCAATATCATGAATCAGAAGATCAGGGATCAGGGGGTTGTTTGGCAGCCCAAATTCAGTAACTATTCTTCTGACTATTTTATAACACTAATATGGATCCAAATACTCCCAATGGAGGATCCGAACCGGTGACCCATCAGGTGTGCTCTTAGTCAAATCATTCTTCTACACAATTCAAAGCCCAATGATTAATGACTCCACACACAAAGCCATCTAGAAAACTGTGGCACCATCCAAAGTTGCCTTCTTTGTTTGGAGCACCATATGGAAAAGTGTCTCACTAGGGACAGCCAGATTAGAAGAGGTAATGCCCCTATATTCCACTGTCTGCACCCACTATGACTCCATCAAGGAATCAGCAAACCACTTCCTGCTCCACTGCAGATTTACTACCCAAGTCTGATCTCAAAAAAAATCTCATTACCTACCTATTAGGGATTTTATGGTGCTTCCCTCCCTCCATCATGGATCTTTTCAAGTGCTGGAAATTAAGATGTTTGAGCAGAAAGGAGTCCATTCTCTGGAGGACTACCCCTTTGAATCACGTGAACTATATGGCGTGAAAGAAACAGCAGAATTTTCAGGGGCAGAACTCAATCAATGGAGGAAGTTTTGTAGAACACCATTGGAATGTTCGCATATTGGCTATCTATATAACAGGATATCAGAAGTGTTAGTTACCTCTTACCTGTTTCTCTCTTTGTATATACTTTTTGGATGCAATGTATAGCCTCTCAATGTACATGGCGGGAATTGGGAAGCCTTTACATCTTCCCTATTTGATCAATACAAGTATTTATTTTTCCTTTCTAGCTTTCCTACTCATCTCAACATTTGCATTTCTGCCACACTTATTTTTTGGACATACAATTTCTTGAATGCCCAACACTTTCACTCCATGCAACATTGTTGTCCTTACAAATGTTTTGTAAAATTTCCTTTGGCAGGAAGATCTTATTTAGGCGAAGCTGCTGAAGAGAATGTAATGCACTTATGCTTTGGTTGTCACTACATGAAATACATTTGGGGGTTCTTTGGTTTGTTCAAAACTGACTTCTTGGAAACTAGAATTACGGGAGACTTTTGCTAAACGGCATATGATGCGAGGAAATATCAAGGCAAGATTGCTTGGAACAGTGTACTTTTTGCCATTTGTTGGGAAGTCTGGAAAGAAAGAAATAGGAGGACCTTTGAAGACAAAGAGAAGAAGAGATCAAATAGTATTGCTCTGCAGCAAAAGAATTATGAGGTGGATTATCATCTTACCAGAATTTTGAGTCTCCAAAGAAGACCTAAGAAGTGGTTTTTGGTCTTTACTAGAGCCGAGAGTCTAATGTTACTATTCTCTTCTTTGATTTGTACCATTTTCCTTTTATGTGGAGTTTTTTGTACTTTAGTGATCTCTCATCACTGGATTTGATGTATTATCTTCTATTTTTATTAATAAAATTTTTATTTTTTATTTAGTACCAAAAAAAATGCCCGTTTATCCTAAGTGATATTCTCCCGTCACATAAGACTCTAAATGCACCCCCTCCATTTTTCCCATCATACTCTAATTTTATTGGTGAGTGGTGACATTGTCAATTTTTTTGTTACTTATCAAAATTAAAGTACATATATATATATATAGATGCAATGTGAATTTAATAATAGGAGTGGAAAGCAGAGTACACTTAGAATTGGCCAAGAGATAACTCAATGTGACTTCTTCCATTACCTTGTTTCAATAATTCATAACAAGGAGAGATTGAAGGATCAGTAACAATGAAGAATTTTATCCTTGTGAGATCCACTATCAAGTACAAGTCCCACCTTGTACAAGTCCCCAATACATTAAATTCCTTGTCACCCCTGTTTCACCAGCCCATCTGCTAGCCTGTCAGCAGACCTAGGTATCCACTGACTTCTCCTAATTCCTTTATCATCTCTTTAGCTTTTCTGACCTCACATATCTATGCTTCCGTGGTCCCTCCTCATTATTTCCCTGCCAACCTGATGACCTTAGAGAGTCCCCTTTGATTATTATATTGCTGTACCTCATATTTCTAGCCCTTTTTAAGCCAGCCAAAACAGCCTTCAGTTATGCTCTAATTGAATCTCCATAACTGATAGGTCCTGCATATATAATCGTGATATCCCCAATGTGATTTCTAACCAGTGCTATACCTGATTGACCCAAGTTGCCTAAGCTGAAACATCAAAATTCAGCTTGATATATGGTGTCTGTGGTTGGTGCCATTCTACTTGTATTATTGACCTGTTTAGTGCAGATTCAGCTACTTATTTCCAATTTCTTATGATAATATCATAAAAGAATCAAACGTCTCTAACATCCTGACCCAATTAATACTTATTCTAAAACCTCTTGAAGAAGAAAGTACCCTTTTACTTCTTAAACATAAAATAGCGCTAAGGAATAAAAAATGGCACAACATAAATACCACATACCAATTGCAGGAGTGTATGATGAAGATTGCAATAAGACTTCTGGAGCTCGGTACCTTGCATAAATAATGAAATTATGAAATGTCATCACCTAATAGAATAGTAAATTTAGTTCAACAAAGGATATAAAAGGAGACTGCTATGATGTAAGTGAAGATTTTTACTCACCACCGTGTGGAAACATAATCAGTATAAGGTGGTCTTGATGTTACTTCTCTTGCCAGTCCAAAATCAGCAATTTTTATTGTGTCATCCGTCACCAGCAAATTCTCTTAAGGCAGAAAGGATATTCAACCAGTAATGGTTAAAAATTAATCCACATATTCCATGAATTCAGAAAAAAAAAAATCCACAGAAGACAAAAGGCCAGAAGGTTGATAACACAAGATCCATGTCAATACCAGGTTTTAGGTCACGATGAAAATATCCATTTCTATGCATATATGCAAGTCCTTGTAACACTTGAGACATAAGATTCCGTATCTCTGCCTCTGAAAATGGGCTTTGACGGTCTCTCATGATCTGGTATAGATTATATTCCTGTACATGAATTCAGGAAACAAGAAGAATTAAGCACCCATTAACTAAATCAAGACCCATACAAGTATCTATTAAGTATTAAACGTAACACCCAATGCAACCGTTTGAATTTGACTAAAAACAAAGCAAGAACATGAAAAAGAAAAAAAAAAGAAAGTTCAATCAAGAAAAATACATGTTCTGAAACCTTATAGTCAAGCAGTGAAGAAGGTGCTCAAATTCAAACCACTTCTATAGTTTTTTGTTTTTTTTTTCTTTTTGGGGAAGAAATGCCATTAACATGAAGCCACTTGTGATAGCAAAGATGTGACAAAAGTAAAACAAGGTAAAAAGATAATACCACACATTGGATCATTACATTAAAACAATATGCATGCATCATAATATACAGAAACATACATATTAACTTCATGATCATGTGCCAAAAGCAGAATTAAAGCCTAAAGACATAGATAATATTACAATCTAGAGGAGCATGGACATTAATAACCCAACCGCTGCCAACAAAGAAAGGCATACATTTTTAAGTACACAAATATATGTATATAGATCAACTACTTACCATGTATTCAAAGATGAAGAAAAGTTCATGGTTTTCCCTAACAATCTCCTTCAACTTGACAATATTTGGGTGATTCAACTTACGGAGGGACTGCAAAAGGATATGTTATAATTGTATGCAAAAGATGAGGAGAGCACTAAGATTAATCTGTTGGTATAACTTGTAATGTCCTCAGTTGTCACAAATAATACTGTTGAAAAGAAAGGAAGAAGCAAAAGACAAGAAGTTTCACATAAACAGAATAAGTAATAAAGACCATACCTTAACTTCACGTAAATTCATGCATTCCTCCCAAAAGTAGAATTTTCTCTTCATTTTCTTGACAGCAACCTATGATCAACATGCACACTTTCAAACCTTGTTCTTTGTAAGTAAGACCAAAGTGGCATAGCAATATTGTAGAAATTAGTAGATAAAAAGTTAACATATTGCATACAATATCTATGTCAATAAATGTCATATGGAGATGTCCCTATTCCTTCTTAAAGCTCTCCATTATATGCTGAATTAAAAGGCTAGCCTCATTGGTTTGCCAAATACTAACCTAAAATTGTTCGATATTCAAGCTCATCAGCACCACCCTAGTCTAGGTCTTCTTTTTTCCCTTACCTCTTTTATCAATGATCAAAGAAAAGCTGAAAAGATAATAGAAAAAAGGAAGACCTCACTTGGTTGGGGGAAGATCTAGCTGCTGAAAGACTGCCACAAAAAGATGTGAGAAGCTCGATTCAAGCTTATTTCGAGAAGCTAGAAATGGAGCAAGATGCGCCTCCAACCAAACGGTCTGTGGGCTGCCAAGATCTTTATGTAAAAGCCCATTACTTTTTTTCGCTGTCAGATCTTACAAGAAAGACTTGCCAAACAGCACTGGAGGTGACAAAATATAGACAAACTACAGAACTTTACATGAGCTTCCTTACATGGACAAAATGTTCATTTCAGATAAGAATCAGGTTACAGCTCTCTAGGATCCTTGATGACACATCAACCCCCCCCCCCTCTTTTCTGAACATGTACAGTACATTATGAGTTTCATCTTTTCCAGTATAACATCCCTAGGTAGCAAAGATAAACTTTTGCATTGATTGACTACTCTTTACCTGGGACATTCAGCAACTTCCTTTTTTTTTTTTTTTGATGAATCACTCAGCAACTTCTTTTCAGTTAGCACTTCTGAAAATTCATTGTTGGAGGCAAAAAAAAATCATGTAGAGATGCCTTTTACATAGGATGGTTTATGGGATCTAGAGAGGAAGAAACAACAGAGACAGAATCCACACATGAAAAGGTAGTTCTCAATAAAGTTATTCATTGGATTCAGGAATTAGAATTTAGAAGAAACATAGGTATCAAAATTAATTCCTTGCTGACTGGCATATCATCTCTTTTTCACTCTACCAGATGTGATTATCTCCAAGTTAACCATGACACCATAAGCCAGCTACAAAGCATAATTTTGGTAGGAAAACCAAGGTGAATCTAGAATTGCTAGTATTTTCAAGATAATAAAAGAGTGGTACTTGGACTATTTGGAGCTTAGGACATGGGGAACTAGTGGATTTGCAAAGGTCATTTGTCTCTTCCAAATGCTTAGATTCTTATTCTCTTTTGGCTTTGAGAGTAGCATCATCTAATATGCTCCAAAAAGATCACTAAATAGGATCTGACATGGATTTTTAAGTCCACAGAATCTTGGTCACTCCCTTAAAAGAGGTGGGGCCCTTAACATCCATGTAGTCAAGTGGTGGTGGTACTCCTCATTCTCCTGTGTTCCAAGAACAATCAACTCTGTTGCTAATGGTTTTACCAAACAATGTGAAGAGGGGTTTCTTGTGTTTGGATTTTAATTTTGCCGATACAGGTTGTATCTGTGGAGTTGAATGTACTCTTGTAGTTGTTTAGAGCTTGGGCGGTCTTGGGTTCATCCTTTTGGGAGCCCATAACCCTCTATCATCTTCTCTCCTCTTTTCATACAAGTTTTATCTAACAATCAAGAAATTTAAAAAAAAAAAAAAAACACTAATTTTTTTGCACTTATTATGCTCTTTGCAATGCAGTATAGACTCACTAACAAGTCAAATTGACCAGTCTAATGGGACAATTTAGAACCATTTAAGTGAATTATTAAGAATTTGAGAACATTGTTGTTATAATGATGAAATATAGTGATCACAACCCCCTACACCTCTATGTATCCCATGCCTTTGTGCTTTTGCTCATGTTTTCTTGCTTCTTTGAATTTGAAACCTCTATTTTCTTGTATCTTTCCATCTCCTCTCTTTAAAACAGTTGTTCTTCTGTCAGAATTACAGTTAGCCCATATTTCCAATCTTCTCTTCAATCAGGTGTAATAATTGTAAATCGAGCAAAGGGTTTAACGAACTATAATAGAATAAGGTCTAACCAAAAGAACCCAAACTTCTAAAACTATTAGAAAGCAAGAAAGTACAATTTTCATACAAATTAGCATGTAAAACTTCATATATATCTTAATTCGAAGATCCAGTACTTACAATCTCATTAGTTTCTAGATTAAGTGCCTTATATACACTTCCACAGGTTCCATCTCCAAGCTCTTTTATAACTTTATACCTGAAACACATTCACAGCAATAAAAAGATTCTGATACACACCACAAGGCAAGGTGGGAAAAATCCAATTACGATAAACTTCAGGCAGCATGCAGCTCACCTTTCCATTATTAGATTCTTATCCAGTATAAGGTCAGCAATTTTTCAGTGAACTTCTAGCAGTTTCCAGAAAAAACTCTCTACACAGGCATTGCAGTACCTTTCACTTGATTGTAAGTGGAGATTACTGCTAAACTGTAGCATGAAATATAAGAGGTTGTTAAATGCCCACTGTTCATGGTACAAGTGACTAAGCATCAATTGGAAGATGATCGACATGCTTTGAGGCAGCTTCTATAAGCTGCAATCAACCAATATCATCTACAAGCAACCAGAAGTATCTGTAACACCTCCGGTAGAACTCCAGTAGGGGAAGTATTCAACTTAATCCGAAGAAAATCCCAAACATTTATGTATATCTGATCCATCTACTTGGGTAAATGCCCAGCTATCAAAAACTGGGGCAACTGTGCTGCAAACAACCAAAAACAAGCAAGAATAAATAGAATTCCATCAAGTAGTTCATTCATTATGAGATGAAAAAAGAATCCATTTAGTGGAGGAACATAAAAGGCGTGAAAAAAAAAATCATAAGAAGAGATTCTTTTTAAGGCTTCCGGAATTCATATTTAGGTGCTTCCAGGACATATTTCACCTGGGACACGCCAATGCAAAATCCTCAACCAACTAACTGCAATGAATTCCAGAGGGAAATTGAATCCCTTGATAAAGGTGACAGCACTAGAACTAAAAGAAATACCCAAGTACTCAACTTTTTCCAAGGAAATAACAATTAAATAACAACCAAGATTCAGTCCAGCCTTCAATATAGAATCCCTCTAAAATCCTAAAGCTCTAAGCAAAAAACCGAAAAAAATCCTCATTAAGTTGAAAATAAGAAAGAAGACATGTCAATCTGACTACAAAATTCCAATCTATTCAAATTTCCCCTTTTTCTCCGCATTGATAGAGATCTTCGATTCATATAATCATGAAATCCCTAAACAACATACAAAATGTTACCAGGAGCAAAACCCAAACAACTTCCTATTCTCAAGCAGACCCACAGATCAAAACAAAGGGTCAAACGAAAATCCAAAAAAAAAAAAAAACAGAAACGAATTCATTTAAACAGATATTGGGAATAAATAAAGAGAGATTAAGTATTTGAGCTCACCATGGATGCTGAAGAACATGAACAGAAACACCACGAAGCAAAGACGATCAGAAAAAATAAAAGAAAATGTAAAACTTTTGATCAGCAATGCAAGAAACAGCTTTGCTTATAACAAGATGCAGAGATTTAGATTTCTGTTGTCTCCATTTGAGCAAATTCAGGAGAAGAAGAGAAGGGGAAGAAGCCAAGGAGAAATTATAATAAAATTAAAAATAAAATTAAAATTTGGGGGAAGAGGTGGTAAGGAAGGAAAGGCATGTGGTCCCCGCGTAAAGCAATAGTTTAATCCAAATGACTAAAAACTCCTTTTTTTTCACAAAATCACGTAAATACCAAACTAAATGACGACAACACCCTTAATTGATGTGGGCCGGTTTGTCGTTTGAACGGGGTAGTTAGGGCGAGGAAGAACGAATATTTTAGGACAAGAATGTAATTAAGAAGTGGATAAAGGGAGTTTTTGGTCATTTACGGGTATGCATTTATTTACCCAGGCTGTGGTCCAGGGAGTGGTTAACGCGGTTCGAACCCATGAATTGGTCCTACGTGGCGCGTTTTCGGGGATAAGCACGAGAGCGTATAAGGTACATATAGAATATATCTTCACAACCGTAGACCTAAGACACGGTATCACATACGGCGCGTGTTGTGGGTCCCACCAATGTGATATTCGACAAGATTGCGTAGATCCAACGGTTAGATATTTATTCATATAAAATTGCTTAGGTATATGAATCGAAAAGAGAGATTGGGCCGGAAGCCGCATGACCCATAAAGTGGTTGGGCCCAAAACTTGGATTCTTAGATAGGCCCTTCTATAGGCCAGCCAGGGACTCTTTGTCGTTTGACCATGTCCTAACCATAAACTGTTAATCTGTGGCCCTTTGAATCCAGCCAGTCCAGGACTTGGGCCCTCAATTCCAAACTAGAATCAAATCAAATGTTGTCAAACAAGTACACACAAATGGGTCGTTGGAATATGGCATTAGGGATGTATATGGTTTGATAGAAAATAATTAAGAGTCCGTTTGGTTTGTGTCTTGGAATCCCCAGGAATCAAAATCGGAATCCTCTATTCTTGACATCCATTTGGTTTAGTCAGGAATCGGAATCGGAATCGGATTCTAATTGTTACTATTTGGTTCAACTAGAATTTGGAATCGGAATCAACCAAAATTTTCAATTTTGTCATTCTGGCATCTCTTTGGAAGAAGAAGAAGAGGAGGAGGAGGAGGAGGAGGAAGAAGAAGAAGAAAGAGGGTGGATTCCAGGTTGGCATTGGTTTAGAATAAAAAGAGGGAAAGAAAAGAGGACAAAAAGAATAAAGGAGAGGAGAGGAAGAAGTCTTTGCTACTAGTAATGCTGCGGTGGTGGCGACAAAGGGGAGGAACAGGGAGCAAAAGAAGAGAGAAGATGGTAGAAAGAATAGGAAGAAGAGAGGGGATATAAGGGAAGGATGGACGCCCAACAAGGCAACAACCGGTCTTACCTTGCTGGAGATGGTGATCATCAATGGCTAAATTGGATAGAGGAAGGCTTGTAAAATACTTCAAACTTGGTAGAATAGGGCTTTGGATTGAAATGGGGGCTTTTTTGTCATACAAAAATGGAGAGGAAAATGGGAATCACATTCTAAGGGGTCAAAAAGGCCATTCCCCCATATGGGGAATCCCATTCTGATCAAGCAAATAATTGGAATAGGAATGGGCCATTCTGATTCCAATTCTAGGCACCTATTCCTGCAAACCAAATGGACCCTAAGAGAGAAACAACAAATTGAGGGTCTAAAACCTTGTATTTATTGTTTTGTATGTATTTACACTCTATATATTTGTATTTATACTATTTCCAAACTGAGCCTAAAGGAATCTCACACATTCTATTAAAAACTTTCACACAACTTTCTATTTCTCTCTTATTTTCTAGCAAACCATGCATAGCCTAAGAGAGTCTTCACAATAGAGGTCAATCCTGTCAAATGGACTAAACCAAAAGTAGATGGTATCAAAATAAACTTTGATGATTCCTGCATAAACAACAAATGCACCACTGCTTGTGTGGCCAGAAATCACCTTGGCCAGATTTTGGACTACAAAGCTATGGTATAGGAATCATGACTATCAATCTTGCTAAAGTGTGGGCTACTTGGGAAACTCACAATCTCTCTCTCAACTTCATCGGAAAATCCATCATCATTAAAGGCGATTCAAAGTTAGTTATGGACTATCTAAATAACTAGATTGACCCTCCATAGAGGCTGAAAAGGATCATTGAAGGTTGCATGGCTCTGGTCGAGAGATTAGACGGTGCGGTGGAGTACGACCACACCTTCCGGGAAGGGAACCGAGTTGTTAATTGGCTTGCTAATTGTGCTCACTCAAACCTCGCTTTTGTTTCTTCCTTGCCTTTTCACTTTAAAGTGTTTCTCTTGTGCTGACATTTGGGGATGGGCTACCCCCCGCTGTGTGTAGCTCCTTTATTGATCTTTTGTTTTATATACATATATGTATGTATGTATGTATGTATGTATGTATGTATGTATGTATGTGTATGTGTATGTGTGTATGTGTGTGTGTTTGTGTCTGACCCATTTGACTTGGATAGTCGAACTAATGACCCACGACCCATAGGCAAAATTAGTTTAGCCTTTGGATCATTTTTTAAAACATTACACATAACCCCTCTCTCCCTCTCCATTTTGATTAAAAAATAGTAAAATCATGACAATGAAATTAAAAATATTTTAAGAAAGTTGATAGTAGAATATTAAAAGTACATAAAATAATTAAAGCATATAAAGACAAAATATAAATTAATTATGTTAAAGAAATATAAATTAATTAATTGATATTAAATGAATAAGTTGCTATATATACTTGATTGGGGGAGAGAGGGAGAGGAAAAGGTTGTCATGATGGGAGTTATTGAAATAGTTGTATTAATTTAAATTAACTGAACTAAATTCACAACAATTAGAAAGAAAGAAATAGAGAATAAAAATTGGACAATAGAGAGATGGTGTGATGTGATGAGAGAGAGAGAGAGTATGTGTGTGTGTGTGTGTGTTAATATGATGTATAGAATATAGAGAGAAATTATGTGAATAGAGAGAGGGGTTGAAGTGAGAGAACAATGTCATCATTACACCCACACGAATAGCCAAAAATAGGGTTTGGGCGGCATGGGCTTCACACACACAGATGTCATTTCTTGAGAACCTGTTAGATTCCATTTTCTCAATGCATGGGGACCATTTGCACTAGATGTTGTATTTCTACTTTTTTTACATGTAGAATAGTAAAAAAATAAATCTTTTCTTTATTAGTTATTGAGCTTTAAACTCTCTTTTTTTATATGGCTTATATATTATGATTAGCACATAAACCAAGTGATGGTGGCTTAATTGATACCTTATCTAGTTAGTTGTAGCAAAGACCTGGGTTAAGGCAATGGGTTACCTCCCATTGTGTAGCCCAAAAAATCCAAAAGATGTGATTAGCACAAGATTAATAACCAAGTTAAAAAAAAAAAAACAATTTCAAATTTGAACTGATGAAGATAACCAAAAACTCGCATTAAGTTCTTTCTTACTATATTTTATTATTGAACCAAGAACAATCTATTAAACAAATCTAAATTAAAATAAATTAATAGAAATGATTTGTTTGTTCACCCCATGTACTGGTGGGCAAATTTGGCTTTTTAGACATTAATTAGGGTCCGATGTAAGGTTCATATTTAGGTTGACCCTTAACCTAACCTAACCCATATAACTTACACCCTACTTTATTAGAGAGACCCAAAAGGGATTGAGAGATATTTAAGAAGAAAATAAGGATTTAATGGGGAGGGGAGATGTTACAAACATTGACTATTAAGGGGTGTGTGTGTGTGTGTGTGTGTGTGTGTGTGTGTGTGAGAGAGAGAGAGAGAGAGAGAGATTTATTAGAGTAAATATTGATTTTATAAAAGACAATAAAGACCCATGAGGTTTTTAATGATTTAATATAAAAAAAGATATGCACATGTGTGAGAAAGGAGAGGAGGAGCTACATATGAGCTTTGTGTTGAGTGGACCCTCACCTCCCTTCTTTCCTCTTTCTATTATATATATACTACCATTGATTAATATAATATATATATTACTATACTATATTATACTACCATTGATTAAAAGTATGAATAAGTGTGCGGAACTTTTGTTTGACTAAAATAGCCCTATTTTTGAATTTGGTATCTCTTTAATTGTGAGGGCATAAAATGTAATTTGAACTATTACCTTCATTTTATTTAATTCCCTCTCATTAATCCTTATATTTAAGGTATTAACTATCATCATCTTTCATTGTTCTTCACTAAAATGCTCTTATATTTTAATTTGGCCATTCTCTAATTATGAGGTCAGAATATGTAACTTAAACTACTTCTTTATACCCCATTCAATTCCCTCTCATTAAGTCTTATATTTAAGTCATTAGTTCACATTCTCTCTCATTAAGTCTTATATTTAACTTATTTTTTTCACTAATAAATTCTATCATTTTTCTTCAAATAAATTCTGTTAATTAGATCCATATCCAATCTTTTAGCAATATAAAACACATGTTTAAAACCAACTTAAAAATGATACCATTCTTTAATCTTGGTGGTGGGTAAGTAATTCAACCAACCATGTCAAATGGGTCAACCCATTATCTTATAGTTAAATAATAAAACTTTTAAAATGAAATAAATACAAAAAATAAAAATTGTAAATAAACTAGACACATCTCTAATATTTTATATTAGTCATATTAAAGAAAAATATGCATGGTAAACAATAATTGTTTTTATTAATGTTGGAAATGAAATACAAAATTCAAAAATGAATAAAAAGTTAAATATAAGACTCAAAAATGAATTTGCTTTCCTATTTGATGGTGTGTCAGCAATTCAACCTTTCAGGTGAAATGTGTCAATCCTTGATGTTAGGACTAAATAATTAAAAATAAATAAATAAAAAGATAAAAGCACAAAAAATAAAAAATACAGAAATTCACTAATATTTTATATTAATCATATTAAATAAAAATAAGTGTGATAAATAAGAACTGTTTTTACTAATGATGGAAATGAAATGCAAAATATAAAACCGACCCAAAAATTAAACTATCTTCCTATTTGGTAGAGGGTCAACAATCTAATCTTTTGGATCAAATGTGTCAACCTTTGAT